GGAGAAAGGCAGTGGCAAAGTGCTTTATATGAGTGTCATTTACTCTCAAATTGGAAAGACAAATGTCAAATTACGTAAGGCAGAAACAAAGGTCACACACTCTGCAAACAAGATGTAACTACAGGGGGAAAAAAGTAGTTACTAGTTACGTACAGGAAATCAAGGATCAGATACAATAACATAACATCTCATTGTTAGTCAACAAGGGTTACTCACGTTTACAATAAATTATTATATTTTTCTAGACATATTGCACTCTGAATCGCCGATGAAAGATACATCGCTGTACATTGTGGTTTGCTACACGAGTGACGCAAGCACAAAGAGACACACAAAAGAACACATCACACGCACGAGTTAGATAGTTTTGAATTTGACGGCTAAATGTACAGCATAAATAGTTTTAAAAGAGAAGTATATTATAACGGTAAACTCAATAGTTCTGACGCATTTAATCCTAGCCCTTTCCACTAAGTCCTAAGCTATGAGCGTGTCATAGAATTGTAGTAGAGGTTTTGACATATCAGTGCATTATTGAGAGCAGTGACTATTGTTTCTACAAACTTTTGCGGAGATTCAAGACAGATGTAGCAAAATATGCGGTGCAAGTCAGATGCCTCTACATTATGACGTTCTAATCGTATTTGTCCACTTGATTTCTAAGGGTCTAATGTGATGGAATCTATTGAGGATTATTGACTGATGGTTTAAACTAAGCCAGTCTCATGCACGGTTTGGGTGATTTCTTGAATATTGCAAAGGTTGCTTGATCTGTCTTGAAATCTACTTGACAAGAGTTGTATGTCACTGGAAATATAGACCAAAAAATGTTAATAATTTACTTTTGCGTCTGAGTTTAAGAAAAACACGTCGGCACATGCCTGACGTTTAGCGCTGAGAGAAAGCAAGACAGACAGAAAGTGAAAGACAGACACCACAGAGGGATAACGAGGAAGAAAGTTCTCGCGTGTATACAACAAACAGCAACAACACTCAGAGGATCAGCATCCTCGTGCTCACTGATGGAGGGGACAGTAAGGAAAGGACTCATATTGAAAAAACAGCAACAGTCAGAGAAAATAAATTTAACAATAAATAAAAAAAATAAACAAATGTGCAAACAGATAAATAAATCAGGTACACAATACATTTCTTTTTTGCTTTAAAACAATGCAAGACTTTCAATATTGTGTAAATGTTAAAAATTTTCATTAATTACTTTGGTGTTCTTGATAACTGCCCATAATATCCACTACAGACTATTTAAAAAACCCTGATGTCATAGCGTCGTTTTTGTTTCACAAGGCATTATTTTTGGGTTTTTTAAATTTGTATTCTTATTATCAAAGTATTATATTATTGCGTCAAAGTCACTTCTGATCTTTGAACATTTTTCTTGCTTACCGTTGTTTCTCTTTGTTTAAACCTTCTATTTTTTTGGATGGCAGTTACGTAGGCTAGTCATGTTTATAAAGTTTTCAAGTGCTGCTTATTTATTAGTCACTGGACATGACCAGGGCATTTCATATGTTTTACGAAAATAGTTTGGTACTTTGCTCACTAGTCTTAGTGGTGATCTAAACTTCAGAAAAAACAAATTGCACATTCCACTGACAACTTTATAGCTAGTTCACACAAACAGCGCGGGTTGCTAACTAAGAGCTGACGCAAGACACTCTTTGCAATCTTTGAATATAGGCAAAATGATATTTACAGGCTCGAAGTAATTTGTTATACTAGGTATGGATGATATGTCGATGCTTCAAACAAGAAATACTCGCAAGCGTACATTTTACTGCTGCGCCACACAGCTTACTCCAGGAAGTCGCAGGTTGGGCAATGGCGCAGTTCTATGACAAGCATACTCGTGTTGGCTTTCACCCTCATTCACGTTTCTTTTGTTGAATAAAGAGTTTGTATACAGGTACATATTTGAGAAAAAATATTATACACTCTTGGTGTGAGGCACGCGGTTAAAGTTGGATTTTAGTTCGGGTTAGGGTAAAAGCAAGGCTCGAAGTCTTTATAGAAAAGTATACGATTCTTTAAAGCAAATCTCATGGATGATTCTGGAAAGAACGTTCGGAAGATTGTTTTAATGGTAATGATTATTGAAAGCTGATCTTGTGGGCTATTGATAATTTCCGTTTCTAGTTTACGTTGTTTGTTTTTTCTATGCCAGGTTTACGCCGAGCAAAGCGAGAGTCGAAATACAATGAAGAACACCAACAGCCAAAGGCCATACGACCGATCTGATGAGTCGATGCCGGTCGGAGATTGCACAATACATCCCCGGAGGCGGAACTTACTTATCCCCGGCGTTATGTAAGACTATACAACTGTAGCTGGATCACGTCGTCCACTATAGACCTATTGTTCCCAGCGGTTGCAATATATTGGTTTGGCTCGTGTCTAATTTATCCAAAAAAACAAAACAAAAAAAAAAGGTTAGCAAATTATATTAATGTCGTCATTTTCATTTCATCAAAATTTTCAATTATTTAAAAGCAGATATTTAGTGTTCGGTCTGCTAGATCATTGTTTTATTACTAGCTGCCACATGCACTGTATGGATCACTCTTGAACAATTATAATTTGAGGTTGTTGTTGAGTTATTACGTAATAACATAAAACAGGGTAAAATAGAGCAGACTGAAAGGTGTTTAACAAACAGTATCATCATGTTATCGTATTGTCGAAATACTGATTTGCCAGTCTACTCTGCAGACAACAGAACTCTAAAATATACAAATAGTTCAAAACCCTTTGTTGCAAGACCAATAGCAAATGCAATCCTCTGTTTTTGTAACAAACTTTGATCGTTTCATCAGTCAACCCACCGCAATTCATTTAGAATGCTCGGGGCCTGAAATTTCCTGTGTGCATAGTGGACTTTTTATTGGATTGTTCGTGAGAGAGATTTAGAAGTCTGAAGCTCCGATCTCGTCATAGAAAGGTTGTTGTTGTGGTGCAGGCTGGAAGACATGAGGCTTGGGGGCCGTCGGAGGGGGTCCTGCTTTCTTGGGTCCCCTAAAACGAAGAGGAGTCGTACACACCAGCGTTACATTATGCCATCATGTGGGCGCTGGAGTAAAGGCCAGCTTATGCCAGTATAACTTAATGTCTTAGTACATCATTTAAAAAAGCCTGTTGTGAGTTTACTCAGCTGACTGGTTGTAGTGTTTTTAAAATACAAAGCTTTAGCAATTTCAGATAGTATCACAAGTCAGGGGTTCTTTTCTTATTTTCAATATGTTTAACATTGAATTATGTTTAAGGCAATTCATTTGTTCTGGTACAAGGAAAAATAAATCAATAGCCAGACATATTGTTTACATGCAACCTGAATAATAGATGAAATTGCAGAAAAATTGCCTAAAGTTAACACTTCATGGTTCTTTGAAAAGGTCTAGATATGTTTTTGTAAGTTAAGTGTAACTTGCAATCATTAGAGAGGTTGCTTTAGCAAAGAGCATGTGATAACTGGTTTACGAAATGGCTATCAAAACAAACTGGTTCTCACAAAGACTAAGTTTAGTACTTACCCTTCACGAAAAGCTGTTGTTTCTATTTTTATTATTAGTACATACTACAAACTTATGTACTTCCACCACACGAACGTTAACAAACGGCGTTCATCCACATGCACATGGGCATACATCATGCTATTGTTCTGACGTCAATAACAGTTAAATAATCCTTGAATATACACGTTCTACTGGTCAAGCAAAACTAATTATTCACAGACCGAGCACGAACGGTCTTCTATCTATAATCACCTGCGTAAAGTCGATAGGTACATGCAAATGTCTCATAGACATGTGTGTCTTCACTGGCAGGCAGTGGATACATGTACTGTTGTAAACGCACTGTGGGGTTTACCAGTACTTCAACGATTCGTTTCCGTCATTGAAAAGAAAGGAATCCATTTGAAAATAAATGAAACAAAGGGCTGACAGGTATTCATGGAGTGGTGAAAGATAACAATAATGGAACTATGTTCAAATTGAACACACACACACACACACACACACACACACACATATATATATATATATATATATATATATCTGTATCGCTTAAATCATTTGAACTCCCGAGAACAAACTCGTTCTGAAAAATCCAATAAAAGCACATTATAATGAAGTAACGCATTAAGATCTGTGCTGAGGCCACATTAAGTCTGCAAAGTAAAAGATAACCAATAAGAAAAAACCCAAATAATGTATACATTTTGATTCACTCACCCCCCCCCCCCCCGTCCTATTTTCCGATGGCCCTTCCCTTCACCAACCATTCAGTGTCCATGAGCTCCCCCCTCCCGACCCAAAGAAAAGCATAGATTAAATAAAATAGCCCCAAACTGAGCGCGGCAATAGCAATCTTCAAAAGCAATACGTTAAAAGCACATCTTAGTTTTATTTTTTTCTATACTCATGCCAAGACCAACGGAGGAGGAAAAAGAAATAAATAAAATGCTCTAATACATCAAACCATACCAAAAAAATTATAATTGCTAGCACTTTCATAAAACGAACGAAAAGAACACAACTCACAAACGTACGAAAGAAAAGACAATAAAACTAAGGCAAAAAATGTTTGGATAGAATTTGCATAGAGGCCTAACAACATATCAAACTCTGTATTATCAACATATTGGTTTTCAGATCAGGAGTCGCATCCTTTGTAGTATTTGTCTCCCCCTCCAATAAATTTAATAGTATGAGTACACAAATAAACAACACACGTTTCCTCAAGAGTCCCCTCTAGTTGATTTAAGTTAGCACGGAAAGCAAATTTATGCTAAATAATTGAATAGGCAAATTTATTTTCTGTGTAAATAGAACATAACAAACTCGATATTCCCGAATACAGCAGGGATCTGCTAACAGTATGAGAAATTACTAATAAGAAGGGGTTTGGTTTGACAAACACCACCTGAGGACCCGTAGCAACAATATCAATAACAACAATAGTAACAGTAGCTTAAAAAATATTCTTTTTTTCTTTTCTTTTTATTATTTGCCCAGAAAAGTTGGGTGCTGATAATCTTCACAAACTAAACGAAGGCAGAACACAATGTAGATCAGCTTCCATTTATCATACTAATAATATCACATACCGGGTACGGGGAAAATCACCAAAAAAAAGGCGTTGAAATACAACTTATGTTATATCGTTTTACTCCAGAGAGTTAGATTTGAACATGTAGAACCCTACTGCTCTAAGGCCATTGCAGGCAGCAAGCTAGAAAGGAACAATTTCTACCGTCTACATGATGCCTGGCTGTAGTCCTCAGCATAATATTTTATTTTAGAGACAGTGATCAGAGATTTGCGCTCCACCCCTGGGTGCCCTGGGTCGACAGCCCCACGCAGAGGGTAGAACACCATTATGTTACTTTGTGTCCTTAGGAAAGATATTTTACCGGAGTTTTCCTCACTGCACCCAGGAAGGAATGGATGTCTAGATATCTAGCTAAAGACAGCGAAAGATCTTGTCAGTTAATGTTTCAGCGCGTGTAACCCGCAGTTTTAAACTTGTCTGCTTCCTGAGATGCCGAGAATGTTTCAGGGTCGTGTTCTAAGGTCTGCTTAGGTAATCATGTCTGTAAAGCGCATAGAGCTTGCTGTTGAGTGTGGTTATCAGATTATGATGAAAAGACGTGTTATATGAAGGTCAATTCATTTGTGCTTGAAGCCGGCTACGATTTGCTTTGAAGAGTCCATGATGTGCTCATATATAGTATGTCTTGATGCCTCAGAGCGTTCAAAGGGACCTTCATAACGAGCTATTCTACAGGAATGTGCACGAAAGCTAATCGGTAGTGCTACACCATTGAATAAATACACAGTGGGTTTGACTCAGGGCAGAATTTAGACGGGCGGAAGCTGCTAAAGACGAGGGCCTGATTAACTATTGCGTCAGAGATAATATACTGAGCCTCTGTTAAATAATGGACGTAAAAAGAATGAGATCTAAACACTCATAATTCACAAAGTTTTGTCAATTTCGGCCGTGTTTCTGCACCAGACCCCGGGACTCAGCCCCGCACCGCCCTGCCTTAAGTCTGGCCCAATTTGCTCTCCATCGAACAACACGTGGAACAATACAAAACCTACTGAGGCTGCCATCTGACGGACTTGGGTTTGCGCCAAGGGCCCGGGGGTCGAATCTTGGAAACAACCGGACTAGACAGTAAACTTTGGAGCCTTGGACACAACACACACGTCCCAAGCATTAGTAAACAGTGTTGCATTTAATAGTTTTCTCAATAACACAATGACAGAAGGGGGAAGAAAAAAGAAGATTATGTGGACTTGAAACGCAAAGCACACAGCGAGAAAAAAGCATGAGTCAGCAGTACAGAGTAAAGTGCAACCCAAAAGCCGAATATAACGAAATTAAAGCAGAGTAATAGTATTAGCGATCTATTGTCAATGCACTGGAGACAAACTTTTCAGCCAGAGCGATCAAAGCAAGATTGAACACAATATTCTCTCAAGAGTAAAAGATTCTGAGCACAGAATACAAGAGAGGTATTTGTTGACACAAAGGGCTGTGAGCTGAGAACAAGCAAAGCGAGATTACATGCATGAAGCAGCGGTATGAGAAGATGATATTGTTGGGGGAAAAAAAGTTTCTTTCGGGGAAATCTTGTGACCTAGCTCTATTCTTATAGGTCTGGAAAATCATTAAATACATTAGCTAACAGGAATCTGCCACACCCGACTTTTCTTATAATGTCAGTCTATAACTGGTGTGTATGTTATGAGCGCATCAAGCATTGGATATTTCACATACCTGCAGTCACATTTACTTAATTATTCATAATTCTATCTTGCCTCATTCTTTTATTACAAGTATTTCCCTTGAGACAAAATAGACGCGTCTGGATACTGGCACTAGCAGTCAATTAATCAAAGCAATCTGGAAAAGTAAGGCGAAAGAAAAAACATTTCTAATACTGTAGTGATTTTACTGACTTTTCAACTTTATTTCATTAACTTGTCTTTGAAAAGCGTTTATTACTATAAAGTTCTTTTAAAATTTGCTTTAAAAATATTATGCTTCTCTTGTTTGGAGCGACATTTACTTAATTTGTTTCCTTGGCAGAGAAACATTGAACGAAACAGACATTTTAACTCTTATATATTGGTGTCTTATTTAAAGGGGATGTTTTTCCTTTTAACCAACATACCAATAGGAGACCAAATCAATGCTATAACAGGGAATATGACGTAAAAAAACTTGAACTACGAGACACATGATTGGTTCTATGTCAGTTGTAGAGACTATGTCTATTGGTATAACATCAGACTACGCCTGGAAATAAGAATGCTTGGAAATACATGAATTCGAGAACTGGACTGAATCTTTACTCCGTAAAAAGCAATCATACGAAGCAGATATTTCAGTCTTTAAAGCTACACAGAATGTTATTTGTGCTTTCTATCCTTACGAGTCATCTAAAATAAAAACTAGATCTAAGTGTGGCAGCTATCAGATTGTCTAAACAATACAACAAACCGTTTCAATTAAGGCAACATTTGTCTTACCATTTGTGATAGATACTTATAACACCAGGTAATAGGCTACTGTAAAAGTCTCTGAAAACACCAAGCAATCTACGCGGGGTAGGGTTTGTAATTTGGCTTTTTTTGCGAACTACAAGATTAGCCTCCGTACATTTTGGACCTATGCAAAATTGTCCAACTAAAAGATGGATATCATGAAGTGACATGGTCAGGGTTAATGAAATCATAATATGTGATTCAACCTCTCTACTGGTGCAGGGGTGGCTGGCTAGTCAGTTACAAGTGCTCACCTCTTTTTGTCCTGCTCAATAAAGCGGAGGACAGCAGACTGGCTCCAGTCTCTATCTCCTGCCTGGTTAGTCTGGGGTGGGGGAGGCTTACTGAAAAGGGAGTCGTGTGACAGTGGTGAGAGATTTCTCGTGTTGGGGTCACATGTTAAAGAAGTCCGCTACAGCAACGGTTTGGATATCTTGACATATTTTCCGTGTTTGCAATGTTGACAGAACAGGTTCCCAACCTCCTAATTTTGTGTGGAAACTTCTCCACAACGAATTTGTCATCTTTCTAAACCTTGGGCCTGCTTCACACAAGGTAGGCGAACCGTATCTCTACTTAAGATAAAGAACGATAAAATCAAAGAAAGAAAAACTCTCATCAAACCCCACACACCCCACCCCCGCCCCCCCCCCCCCAAAAGGATACCCCCCCTCTCCCGCCCCCAACAAATAACAACCCCGAAGTAATATGATCCAAGGTTGGGAACACCTCGTTACACGATCAAGGAGTAGATTATGTCAAGTTGGGTGTGGGTGGGAAGAGGGACAGGATGGACAGTGGAGATTATATGGAACTTCTGCACTATCTGAATGAAGTAAGTAATATTGACAAGAGACAGTTTTGCTCTCCGTAGTTGGCCTCTTGCAGACCATCCAACCGCAAAACATAGTTGTGAGCAATGTATAAGCCCACACTTGTAGGAAAACAGAGCTGAATAATGTAACACAGGCAGGAGCTTACAATTCATTGTCTGTCACAACAAAAAATACATTAAAAAAAATTATGTATGGCATAGAATGGATGTTGAAGCCATTTCAACAAAGTTTTTTTTTAAATTCAAGAGGCAGGACCTCCACACAGAATTTCCATCATTTGGGGAGGAGTTTAGAGAGTAGAATACCTTGAAATATCCCCAGAATAAACACAATTCCCCGGAACTTCCCCCAATGTGTCCCTTGTGTGACTATGCATAATAATATATGAGACTGTGGATCATCACCTGTTCCACTGTACAGCCCTAAATGACATCAGAGCTACCCTTCTCCCTCCGAGACCTAACATTGACAACACACTCTATGGAACATTACAGCAACTGCAGCAGACCTGCACTTATCACTACATGGCATTGGACAGAAGGGCGAGAGCCCAGCTGTTGCTGGATCGATAACAACAACAACACAATTCAAGAACACCCCCACTAGGTAGGCCTATTTGACCTAATGATATTCGCACATAAGTCTAAATAAATTATCGACATGCCCCCATTTTGTGTCAAGTGAAAAGACATATCGTGTGATAATGATGCCAACAACTAACCAAATAGAGGGTAGACAAAATGATTGTAAAATAGAAGAATTTGCAGTGTAATCGTAAACTGTTTTTCCAGTTTCAAATTACATAGGGACATTCCATGTTTACCCAGAGCACTTTGGCGTTTTCAAAATGACTTTAGATTCTACTTGTTTTACCTTTTTGTAGTTTGTTCCTTTTCTAAGGCTAAAACAGCACCTGGACATGGATGGCTGGTGCCTCTATAAATAAATCATTGATGGTCTGGTCTGGTCCTTTTCTTAAAATTTCGCATTAACACTCCTAAGATTTCTAGAATAATTGTCATTTCTATTTTGGTTCTAGTAATTTTCAAACGGAATCTAAACCTTAAATGATGTTTGTAAAGGAAAAGATAAGCTGTCAGCGGAAAAGGTACTCCGATAATGCATGGCAGCAGAGAGAATAAAGAACAAAGTGCATCAGGAAATAGCGGAAAAGTTTTTGCCTGGACGGCTTTACTAGCATTCAGTTCGATCAAGGAGCATGTCATCAGAAAGAGAGAGAGAGAGAGAGAGAGAGAGAGAGAGAGAGAGAGAGAGAGAGAGAGAGAGAGAGAGAGAGGGAGAGAGAGAGGGAGAGAGAGAGAGAGAGAGAGAGAGAGAGAGAGAGAGAGAGAGAGAGAGAGAGAGAGAGAGAGATAGCAAGGGTGCGCCGCAAATGAGGCAAAGCTGAGTTCTCTCTGAACTGTGAGCCTAAAGCCGCCTAGAAGGACTACATACTGAAAGCACATTTAAAGCATTAAGTAATAATGGTGAAATCTATCATTGTTGGGTGATTCTACGTGAAAGCAAACAGTGACCCGGGTGCTGTGGCTTGGGGGGGGGGGGGGGATACGAACAGGGAGGATGAAAAAAAAAGATAACAAAACCCGTAGAAATAAGAAGATACTAATGATGATGATGATGATAATGATGATGATGATGATGATGATGATGATGATGATGATGATGATGATGATGATGATGATGATGATGATGTTGATGATAAATTATTGAACTGAATAGAAGTGTGAAAAGAGGGGGCGTGATAAGAGCCTAAAATATAAAAGAAAGAAAAAGAGAAAAGCAATCATGAGTTATGAGATCATTTTCCTGGAGTAAAAAGTAATCTAGTTTTGGGAAACCCCATGTTTTATAGGGGCATCTGCATAATGCCCACCATAGTGTTTATTCATTTTGGTAATCTTCCAGACCTGTAAAAAAGCCCCCAGGAAGGCGCAATAATTCTTCTTCTTCTTCTTCTTCTTCTTCTTCTTCTTCTTCTTCTTCTTCTTCTTTTTTTTTCCTTTTCTTCTTCTTCTTCTTCTTCCTTGTTCTTTTTCTTCTTCTTCTTCTAGCTTCTCTATCTCAGGTATTCAGCGGGAATGAAGACAGAAAGCTAAATAAAGAATAATCGAGGCAACGCATTTCGGGTATTCAAGATATGTGTACCTCCGACGACTGCAAGTCTACAAGCAGTCCCATAAGTTAGTGCAATAAAATTCACACAAAGAATGCTAAATCAAAAGCTCTCATAAAATCGTAAGATTTAACATATTTGGTGTAATTGGCAGTGTACTAAATTATTAGGTTTTAAAATGGTCGTAGAAATAGTGTTCTGTGTTTCTCTTGTTTATAATTATATATTCTGTGTTATTCTATCTGGCTTACGTAAATGTCGTTAGCAAAACAATCAAATCCTTGAAGGGGAAAGTGCCATGGAATGTTTTGGAACACTGCTTAGCTGTATGGAGGCTGTAAGACTATTTGGACTGAAAGACGGGAAGTTTTAGTTTCCCTTTGTAGTTATTTTCTGTTTTAATAAACTAATGAAAGACTTAAAACACACATAACCGAGGAAAAGTCATAGAGGCTCAAGAATTGCGTAAGGCCGAGCCTGGGTGTGAGAAATTTGCTTTTGAATAGTTCAGTTTGAAGAATCGTCTTCCCCTTCCTGTTCGTCCGTCTATTGTGAGCCCTTTTATCAGTTATACAGCTCAGTCGTCTTTGGTTTCGGTAAAGATAGAGGTACACAAATACGCAGAGAGAAGACTCGACCCTCATGGATTATTGTGGAGAAGGTTGGGGATCATGATTCAGTGGTAAAATTGACAGGGTAGTAAACTTCCTCTTTTGCTGCGTTCGTCAACTCTCCACCTATCATCACTTTTTGGTTTGTTTAAGAGAGAGGTGCGAAACGAAATTGGTTTTCAATTTTTAAAAAAAATCGATGCTTAGTTCCTGTGGTTGGCAGACGGACAAAAAAAATCAGAAGTGTGTGGGTTTTGGGGTGGGTAGTAGGTTGAGAGAAGAGTTGTAGAAGGGGAGTGAGAGGTGGAGTGGAGAAGAGAGTGGATGTGGATGGAGGGCGTGCCTACAACGGTTACAACAACTGAGATGGTCCACGGTATCCCATCATGCCATCGGGACGAGACACGACCACACGGGCAGACACCACAGCACTGGCGGGGAGGGACAGAAGGCGCACTAGCTTTTGCTCAAAAGTTTAGCCCTTTAAAAAAACCGCATCGCATTTTTCAATTTAATCTTCAAAGAACAAGTCTATTTATATATTTAACAAATGAATAAATTAAAAAAAAAATGTATATACATATGTGTGTATGTGTGTGTGTATTGAAAAGTGCTAAGTTCAAACTCTGATCAAATAACACCTGTGTAATATTAGATGTCTAGTAATAAACAAAAGAAGAAGAAACAAATAGGATGGTAAAAAATGTTTGGTGGGAACATTTCCTAACTTTTACAGTACAAATTCTTCCTTGAGTAATTAATGTTTTCGAGTTTCACCCAACATAAACGTTACTTGATTAATAAATTAGGCCGAGGTCGTTTTTTCCTTAAATGATCAACACCTTCAGTATCTCGAATGGAACTCGTCCGCTTTGAGGGCGATGCACATCGTAAGAACTGGGAAATCGCTAATTCCAAAGAGCGATGGACCCTTACATAATACTGAGAACAAAATTCTTGACTTTGTGACGTAAGCAGCTAATAATCCGACCTTGAGTCGCAATCACTGTTTCCTCGTTCTGTTACCATTTTTGTCGTCTGCAGCTGGTACTCTCAAGTTTCAAATTAAAAAGTGTAATGGGAGAGGGGTAATGTCAGTGCATTAGAGGCTGCTTCTTTTACTGCTGTACGTGTCTGTCGTGTAATGCTGGTTGCTTCGCCTTGCACAAGGGGTATGCTTTTGATTCCCAGATGGGAAAGATATTTCGCGTATGTTTGTTAGTATTTCAATAATCTTCTGGGATGTAGTTGGCTCTGACAGGCAGCGAAGAACCCCTTCCTTAATTATTTTGATTCGTGTGGATGTGGGTGTAATTATTATTAATTTTTTTTAACGTACTATTTAGAGAATTGAGAAATGTTTGCGGACACGGAGGGCTGCTTCTTGTTCTTATGTGCGGAGGTAAGAAATCTGTATTTATACATTAGATGCCTGTTACCATTATTGTTGAGGAGAGGTATGTTTCAACTGAATAGAGATCATATTTTTATCAAACGTACAACGATATATTCTAATTTTTAGTCATGACTTCAGAATATTCTGAGGGCTGTCTACGTCATTAGCCCGATTCTTCTGTATCATTAAATTCACCGCGGCCACTGACGTCACTTCGAAAAGTTTACTGCGCCTTCTCCCCTTTTTCCCGTTGTGTGGTAGACACGGCAAAAAGGAAAAACAAAAACAACAACGAAAAAAGTCACCACTACGTCACCGCTACGTCACGGGCTACAAACCACTCACGTCTGATCCGACATGGCCTGCGTCTGACCATGGAGTGTCTCCTGAACGTTCTGATTCGAGTACAGACCCATGGGGGAGTTGTACTGCAGATGCACCACCTTGGGACCGTCCTGCGAGTTTCCTCCAGCTACGGGGACCACGGGGGTCTGGGTGGGGCTGAATGGGGCTGCAGTGGGGCTGTACCCCCCGGCCACGGCCCGTGGACTCTGTTGGGAGGGGACAGACCTGGCGGGTTCGTGCTCCTGACCGAAGGTGGCGTCCTGCTCCCAGGGCTTGACGCCGGTCGAGCGGAGGGTGTTGCGCCACGCTGGCATGCTGTCGTCCTCCACCTGTGGCGGTTTCTGCCA